TGTGTGTGTGTGTGTGTGTGTGTGTGTGTGTGTGTGTGTGTGTGTGTATGCATTTGCCCTTGGTGCCTAGTGCATGGGTCTTTGGTCTAAGAAGTACATTGGGAGGACTTTGTTTCTGCAGATGAGCCATGGTGGAGAGCTGTGGTTGTCAAGGTACCATAGTGAACCCTGGAGTATACATGAGCTTTTTTTTCTAAGCAAAGGAGCAAGTAGGATGAGTGGTAATTTGCTACCAAAAATTAAAAAAAAAGGATGTTTCTCCTGCATGTCAGAATCTAGGACAAAGCCCTGGTGTTTTTTAGCTACTATACATGTGGGTGTTCTTCTCTATCCCTGACTAGATAGAAGATTGTGAGATATAAAACTCAAAGGATTGGGGAAAGTTCCTCATAAGAACCTAAGTAGAGATAAGGAAAAAATAGAAATTTTGAAAGCATTGTTCTAATCAAAGCACCAAAATAACAATAATTTGCATTTTTATGATGAAAATCAACAGCACCATCATTCACTGTTGTGTTCCTTATGCCTGGAGCTGTTGAAGAGGAAGCCTGATGACCAATTGTTGGGATATTATAGAGTGGATTTTTGTTTCAGTGATTTGGTCAGTTGTCCTAAGATTTTCCATCTGTTGCTCTCAGAGCTTGGCTGATAGCAAACAGAAATCAGAGAAGTAATACAGAATTGAGAATATATCAGACAATACACAGGAAAAAAATGATCTCTCCCAATTGGAGAGAGTTATCTGATCTCAGGAAAGAGAGAACCCTAAATCTCACTCAAGGGGAAATTTCCTGATCTCTCTAGGATGGTATGCTGGGGGTTGAGAATATGACTGAAGTGCCAGTTCTTCTTTACTTAAGCTTCCTTCCAGAGTCCTTGTCTATCTTTAGGGACCCCACCCTGAATAGAATCTGGAATCATGTTTTCTTTTTTGAAGCTGGAAGACAAAGATTTCTTGTCTCCCAAAATCTTGCCAACTCTGCCACATAGACCCTCCTTCATCTCCCCTGGAAATGGAGTGCGAGTAGTGAGTCTCCACAAAGGAGGAGTCTTGAGTCCCTGGTGATTAATCGCACCATAACACTTTTCAAAAATTCACATGTCAACTAATTTGAGCAAATATCATATATACTGTGCAAATTACTGTGCTGAGGACAGAAATGAATGACTGAATGAGTGAAAAATTACTTTTTAAATTAATTCTATGTGTCAGTGACCATGCTAAATTCTGGGGCTACAAATATATAAAACTAGGGAGACTTCACTATAAGCAAATTTGTATTCTAAAGAGGGAAGACGATATAAAATTTAGGATTGGCTAGTGAGGACCCAGTTGATCCAGGAAATTATAGGAATTGTGGGTAGAATTATAGAGCAACTGATTGAAAATTCTTTCTAGGAATAATAACCATTTTGATTATTATTTTCAGAGCTAGAGGTGAAAAGTATGTGTGTGTGTGTGTGTGTGTGTGTGTGTGTGTGTGTGCGCGTGTGTGTGTGCGTGTGTGTATGTATGTTTGCAGAATGGCTGCATGGCAGAAGATAGATTACATTGAGATGGGTATTTGAAGAGCTGCATATAGTAAACTCTCATCTTCCAGAATCCCAAGACCCCAGAGCAAGAAGTGGAGGGATGGGTCTGATGAGAGCTAGAGAGTGGTTCAAACACTATAGCAGGAAAAAGGATGACTATAGATAAAAAAATGAAATAATTCTTTACCTGAAGGAACTTACATTCACAACAATACAGTATTGCAATATTATAATAAGAATACAGAATTTTCATCAATGGAAGGTCATTTCATTGCAAGGGATCACTTCAGAATTTTTATGGGCCACCTACTACAGTATGACAGTCTTTTTTTTGGAAAGCTTGTACCAGGAAATAGATATCTAGGGCTGTGAATCTCAAACTTTTTGGTCTTAGGACTCTTATACTGTTAAATATTGAGTATTCTAAACAACTTTCATTTATGTGAGTTATATCTATCTATATCTATCTATGAAAACATTTTAATATTATTATGAAAATAATTTTGACCTCCTAAAACCATGGTGAGTAGGTGGCTGTTTTTCATTTGTCTTTTTATTCCCAGTGATTAATATAGTATGTTACATTCAGTAGGTACTCATTAAATGTTTGATGGACTGGATTGAATTCACCACAGGAACCAGGACTTTTGACTACTATGCTGAAGACAAAAATGAATGACTGAATGTGTAAAAAAATATTTGTTACAATAATCATTATTATTTATTGAAATTTCCAGCTGTGAGAAGTTATTTCTTTGCAAGTGATCCATTCAGATATTGTGAAGACTAGCTACTGTAGTATGGCAATCTGATGTTCTCTTTGAAAGCTCGTATTGAGAAATAGAGATCTACAGCATTGGTTCTCAAATATTTGTTCTCAAGACTCCTATACACTGATAAACAGTGAGTGCCTCAAGAAACTTTTATTTGGTGAGTTACATCTATATTTACTATATTAGAAATAAAAATATTTTTGTATTATTATGAAAATCGTCTTGACCTTATGGACCCCATGAAAGGGTCTTGGAGACTTCCCAGGGATTCCTGTACCACACTTTGAGAGTCACTGATCCAAAGCAAAGTACCAGAACTGATGAGGGGGAAAAATTTCTGTGTTATGTTTAAAGTAAGATTTGTTAGAATCAGAAGTTTATTTTATCTTTCTACCTATGTCCATTATCTACATATATACATTATATATAACATCAGTATTACTGCTATAATATTTCCCTTTCTACATTCAAATATTTGTATATTTTTAAATGTGTGTGTGTGTGTGTGTATAGTATTTTATGTATCAGATAATTTCAAGGAGAAAGGTACAACAGGGTTACAAAGTGAATTAAGAGAGAGTTTAAAGGACCTGAAGTAAACTGAAATTTTTATGTATTTTAAAAACCAACCTAAACAATAATTTCTGAATGAATATTTTCCTACATGCAAAACTGAAAATCAAGGACAATTTTTGCTTCTCAAAGAAATTAGGAAGCAATTCAAAGATGTATCTTCTAGTGTAAAGCATAACAGGACGTAATATAGAGTTTTGAGGACTCTAGGATGAGACCCAAACAGTTGCAAATCACTAAAACAAACAGATGAAATAACTCACTACATTCTCAGAACCATCAGTTTTAAGAACATCCTTATTACATTCTCTACCTCTCTGTAAGCACATACACAATAAACTTTAATCTATGATTTATGACCTAGTTTCCTAGGTATAATATTCTATTTCATTTCAACTAAAATGATAAATTTGAGACATAAATTTTATGTTTCTTTATCATCTTTCCCCATATTGTTCTTTTCATCGAGTATTATTATCTGACAAACATATATCTCAATTTGTTCAATTACTTATCATATTGAAAAATTAGACAACACAAAACTCAAGAGCAAGTATTGTGATGGATTTATCTAGACAACCAAAAAATTCAAATTATTTATGGAGAAATTAGGAAAACAGTTCCAAAATGGATCAACCTTTGGAATCATCTTGTGCCATCCTCAGGCAAGAGAGGATGAGGAAAGAAAGGGACATCATATTTCAGCATTTGTCATCTATTCTCCCAAGTGAAAAGTCAGCCACCACTCTCTCATTTTGACCCTTGAGAGTAGAGACAGTGGCAGAAGCAAGGGCTTAGGAAGCTGCCCCAGAGGCTGCCGACAACAATCAGCTCCCTGGTATCCAATCTCCCATACTAGATGCCATTCTACCTCCAACTTGTACAAAACACACACCATTACCACATTCAATATCTTCTGATCTTGCTCCACCATGGCTGCAATTGTCTCATCATCTGTCCCCTGAGGTCACACTACTGATGTAGTGCTTGACTCAGAACTCTTGACAGTCTTAATCTCTTCCATTTATGTAGACATAGTTGTGATTATTATTGAAGATACCATATCAAGAGTCAAATCTTGGTCTTCTCACAGTTAAACCTTGAGTGAAAAGTTACACACAAATATAGACAACACACATGAAAATAGATAGCCCAAAGTATAATGGTAGGGAGGTGTATATTGTGGAAATTGTGAAAATAGGATGGTTAATGACTTTACTAACCACCTTGATCAGCTTGAACTTCTCTACCATCCAGAGGAGGCAGAACTGATCTGGGAATTAGAATCAGCCAATCAGAAGGCAAACTGAGCTTGCCTCAAGCTTCAAATACCTGAGATCCTTGAAAATTCACTTGCTGAACCCAGAAATCACTCCAAAGTGCTATAACAAACTGATTATTAATTACCAATATCCTGGGGAGGTACAGAGCTCCACGCCCCCTTCTTCCAAAATACTGACTGTAAGTTTAATTTTTCTTCAGAAGGACATTACTGATAATGAGATTGCATTGATTCTCCTAATCCTAGTCAGTCCCCACCAAGTTTACAAAGAATTAATGTAAAGTAGGGAAGCCCTTTGTGTTCTACTCAAACTTGGGTGGAGACACAGATTTTTTTGTCTAAATAACCTAATGCTAGAGTGGTTAGTTATGGTTAGGGAGTGGTCTGATAGAGAGATATTTTCTCTCTCCAGGTGTGAAATGATAATGAAGTGACATCAGCCCCTCTTGGAAGGGTATATAAACTATGCAGCCTAACCCCAAAGGGAGCTAAATTTTGAGTACGGCTCTGACCACTTTGAGAGAAAAAGACACACATACAACCTAATCCTGTTTTTCTTTCTTAGACCAAACTCTGGAGGTTGACAACTTATAAGGAAGACGTGTATGAAAGGTAATTTACAACTTTTATACTTCAGGGCCTCGAAATCCTTTCTGTAATTAAACTCTCAATTATCAGGTCTAGCTCTGCTTCTCACAGAGCCTTCCCATGTAACAAATAACATTGTTTAAAGAAAAGAAAGAAAAAGAGATAAAATCAGCAAACCCAATCAATACAATGAAAAATTTCAGAAAATACCTACTATTTTCCACACCTGTGGCAAGGTCAGCTTTAAATCGTCCAGTTTAGCAGAATTCTGCCTCACCATTCATGCTCTTGTAGCTGCTATTGGTGCTGAGCTTTAGAAAGTCTTAGTTTTCCCAGGGCAAGAAGCAAAATACAATGTCTGTCTCTCAGAAACACTACTCCTTACCTGTATGAGACCATCTATTATGCGATTACAGGATGAAGCCTTAACAACTCCTTTACACATCCATTAACATTTAAGATTGTAATTGTATTTTCCTCCATTCAATTCCTTTATCTAGATGACTACAAGATGTATTGGAGGAGAAAAAAGGCCAAGAATCAAGAGACTTGGATTCAAGATCTGGTTTTGCTCTGTGGTTATTAGCAAGTAATTTATTCTCTTTTAGATATAATTTTAGATATAATTTCTTTGGCTGAAAAATAGTGGTTTGAATTTGTAAATCATTAAATCCTCTTCTTAGTAACATTCATCTTGTAAAACCTTGGAGATTTAACTGCTAGTTTCAGGAATCATTGACCCACAGAATGACATCTAGGAAAACTGCATTTATATACAGATGTTTAAAATAGCAAAGCCAAAGCTGTAAATATTAGGAGCAGGTCAGTCCACAGTTGAATTTTTTTTGCACTAGGCAATGGGGTTAAGTGACTTGCCTAGAGTCACACAGCTAGTAAGTGTCAAGTATCTGAGACTGGATTTGAACTCAGGTCCTCCTGACTCCAGAGCTTGTGCTCTATCCACTGAGCCACCTAGCTGCCACCCAATGGTTGAATTTTACAACCTATCTGAAATGTAAGTCAGAGAAATAACAGGAAGATAAATGTTGGTAGAAAGATGTAGCTTACTGGTTTGAAAAATGTCCCCAAAATAGCTCTGAGAAGCCCAACTCAGAGCTAAAAGAGTGTGCCAAAGTATCTGCTTTGCAGAGCTCTCTCTCTTTCTCCCTTCATTCCTCTGCTCAGTATCCAGTAATCCCATCAATCCATTATTCTAATATTTTGCCTTTCACTAGAATGTTCTTCTTCCTATCACCTTCTTCAATGCAATTTTGACATCTTCATTTCTCAGACTGTAGATAAAGGGGTTTAGCATGGGTACAACAATAGTGTAAAAGACAGAAGACACTTTCCCCTGATCCATGGAACCAACTGAAGATGGCTGAAGGTACATGAATGTAAGAGAGCCAAAGAAGACACCAACTGTGGCAATATGGGAGCTGCAGGTACTGAAGACTTTTGATCTGCCTTCAGTGGACTGAATTTTTAAAATGCTAGCAATGATCAAAACATAAGAGCAAATAATGGTCAGTGTTGGGAAAAAGATATTAAATGTACTGGAGGCCAGAGCCAGCACTTCATTGATATAGGTGCTAGAACAAGAGAGATTCAAGAGCGGAAGGAGATCACAGAAGTAATGATTAATGGCATTTTCCTTACAGAAGAGCACTCTAAGCAAGCAGCCTGTGTGAGCTGTGGCCCCAGTGAGGCCCAATGCATACATCCCACCCACCAACCATGAGCACACCTGATAAGACATCATAAGATTATAATGAAGGGGATGGTATACAGCAACATAGCGATCATATGCCATCACAGCCAATATTTGACATTCAGAAATCACAAAAAAGGCAAAAAAATAGAACTGAGTCATGCAATTAGAGTAAGAGATGATGTTCTTCTCTGACACAAAGTTCACTAGCATTTTGGGTATGATGACAGTTGATTGACAGAGATCAATGAAGGACGAATTGCAGAGGAAATAATACATTGGATTGTGAAGATGAGAACTCAGCCCAATAAGTATAATCATGCCCAGGTTCCCCATCACAGTGAATATATAAATCCCTAGAAACAGGGAGAATAGTGGCAGCTGGAGCTCAGGCTGGTCTATCAACCCTAAAATGATGAACTCAGTCACAAGTGAATAATTTCCTTTCTCCATTTTTTTCAGTGTAGAGTAAGAAGAGACAAAAATCTGTTGACAAGAGGAAAAAAGGGGGTCTTCATTATTGCCAGTCTTTAGTGAGAACTCAGAGAGAACAGTAAAGTTATAATATAAATTATTTTGATTCTTTTGTCTCTGCTTATTTTCTTACCACAAGCTGAAGACTATCAGTCTCACAGGAATATATGGTATGTAAACCAGACTTCTAGAAAGAGCCATACTCAAACTTCTCTCCTATATACAATAATAATAATTTTGATTCACATAACTATTTAGTTTCAAAGGTGTTTGCTCAGAAAATGAAATATATGCAAAAATATTTAAGTAGGTATTACATATATTAAAATATTAAAAAAGATTGAGGCTCATTATAGTACATGACCATAGTAATCTAGTATATTATAAACCCAAAGATCTAAGCTTTTGGAACAAAAACTCATTATTTGACAAAGACTGTTGAGGAAACTGGAAAATAGCAAAACAGAAACTAGGTATAGAACAACATCTTACACCATGTACTAAGATAAGGTGAAAATGAGTACATGATATGCAAATAAAGTGATACTATAAGCAAATTAAGAGAGCATGGAATAGTTTATCTGTCAGACATATGAGTAAGCAAAGAATAGGATCCATAAGAATATAGAGAGCATTACAAAATGTAAAGTAGATAATTTAAATTACATAAAATTTAAAAGTTTTTGCAGAAACAGAACCAATGCAACCAAAATTATAAGGAAAGTGGAAAACTGGGGGAAAATTTTGCAACAAGTATCTTGATGAAGGCCTCATTTCTTAAATATATAGAGAACTGAGTCAAATTTATGAAAATACAAGTCATCTTCTAATTGATGAATGGTTGAAGGATATGGACAGGCAGTTTTCAGATGAAAAAATTAAGTCTATAATCATATAAAAATGCTCTAAATCACTATTGATTACAGAAATGCAAACTAAAACAACACTGAGGTGCCATCTCACAGCTATTAGATTGGCTAATATGACAAAAAAAGGAAAATGGCAGATTTTGGAGGGGATGTAGGAAAACTGGGACACTGATGCACTGTTGGTGGAGTTGTGAACTGATTGAACAATTCTAGAGAGCAATTTAGAACTATGCCCAAAGAATTGTAAAACTGTGCATATCCTTTGATTCAGCTAGACCACCACTAGGTAAATATCCCAAAGACATCCAAAAAAGGGGGAAAAGACCTATCTGTACAACAATATTTTTGACAGCTCTTCTTGTGGTGGCTAAAAATTATAAATCAAAGGGATGCCCATCAATTGAGGAATGGCTAAACAAGCTGTGGTATATCATTGCAGTAGAATATTATTATTCTATAAGAAATGACAAGCAGAATGATTTCATAAAAACCTGGAAAGATTTACATGAACAGATGCATAGTGAAGTGAGCACAACCAGGAGAACATTCTACACAGTAACAGCAATATTGTTTGATGAAGAACTGTGAATGACTTAGCTCTTCTCAGCAATACCATAATCCAAGACAATCTCAAAGGACTAATGATGAAGCATACTATCTGCCTCCAGAGAAAGAACTGATATTGATAGAATACAAACTCAAGCAAGCTATTTTTCATTTTCTTTCATTTTTTTCTTTTATTCCAGTCCTCTTGTACAAAATTACTAACATGGAAATGTTTTACATAATTGCACATGTATTATCTATATCTGATTGCTTACTGGCTCAAGAAAGGGGGATAGTAGGGAGGGAGAAAGGGAGATAAGGATAGATTTAGAGCTCAAGACTTCAAATACAAATGTTTTTAAAGAAGAATGAACATTAAGGCTTAGGTTCAAATAGCAAGTAGACATAAGAGATAGATTCCCAAATCAACTCTCTCCTCACAGCAATTCACCAAGGCTCTTGAGTTTTTGTGGAACTCAATTCAGAGACCAGTGACTGTTGAGCTGGCTACCAATTACTTTTGGGGCTTATCAAGTTGGGAATTCTTGCCTCTATCTCTTTTTCGAAGGTAAGGAAAAGGGAGCTCAGAGAGCTCAGTCATTGACACAGGCACATAATTGGAATGCTGTGATCTGGTAAAATCTGTTCTCTGTGGGGAGAGTTCTTCTGGTATCAAGACATTTTTGAGTAAAATGGTAGATTAATATAATGGGCAATAAGAGAAATGGTATACACTTATTACTCTTAAATTTTGGCAAAATACTTGATAAAAAAAGACATTATGAAAAAGATGAATTGACATGAAATGGACAAAAGTACAGTTTCATGGATTTGCATTTGGGAGAACACCTCACAAAGAGTAGTCATTAATGATTCAATATCAACTTGAAAGATGGTCTTCAGGAGAGTTCTTTAGAGATTGATATTCTGTCTTCTGCTATTGATCACACACTGATCAATGCCTTAGATGAAAGCATTGATGGTTTGCATTTGAATATGACACAAAATTTGGAGAGAAAAATAACTGCGTATTTGACCAATATATGATACAAAAATATCATGATAGTTTAAGACAATAGGCTTAATCTAGTATGATAAAATTTAATATGAATAAATGTAAATCACTGCATTGTAGTTACAGGAATCAGTTCAAAAAAGATATGGAGATAAGTTTAAAAGTCAGCTTGTTTGCCAAAGATCAGGGGATGAGGTAGACTACAAATTCAAAATAACTGAGCAATCAAAAAAAACTAAAGTAATCTTTGGTTAAATGGAGAGAGGCAGAGTTTGCAGGAATAAGGAAGTGATAGTCCTACCACATTCTGCCTTGATCAAACCACAGTTGGAGTATTGTGTCCAGTTCTGTTTACCATAGTTGGGAAAGGACATTCACAAAGTGGAAAAAATCAAGAAAAGGACAATGAGGGTCATGAATAATCTTGAGTATATACTATATGAGGATAATTTGAATAACTTGTGAAAGTTTAGCCTGAAGAAGGAAAGAATCAGTTGGGCACGATAATTGTTTCCAAGTGTTTTAAAGACTTATCTCTGAATGAGATTAGACTTGTTCAGTTTGTCCCCAAAGAGAAGCACCAAGGGAAAAGTGTGAATGTTGCAAAGAAATAAATTAACCCTTGATGTGAGGATAAAATTCCTAACAATTACTTTTATCCCAAAAGGAAATGGGCTACCTTGGTAGGTAATGGGTTCTCCTTCTTCAAGTAGAGGCTGGATAACTTCCATTGCTTTAGTGGATATTTGGGTGGAGCTGTGGGATATGACTTGAACTAGATGGAAGTTCCCTTCCAACTCTCAAATTCTACATTTCTTCAATTCTGAGCTGGAATCCTCATAAATCTAAAATCTCTTTCTAGCTTTTAAAGCACCTATGCCCAGTTTTCTGCTCCATGCCATAGTCAACAATGGCTAGAATAGAATATAGAAATGTCCTTTCTTTTGCAAATTTGTGGAGTTCTATGAATCTTTGTTTTTGTACAATGAAAAAATAATATAAAAAAACTCACCCTCTAGCAGTGGCTCTTAAAGCGTCTTCACCCATACAGTCCTGGCAGGTCAATGTGTTCTATGAAAGTTACTATGGACATGGCATAGACTTCTAATCCTTTTTAGTGTTGGTGAGAATCAGGGCACAGAACTACATCTCTGAAATGCTCTCGAGATTAATTTCATACAAAGATGATCATTTCTAATTGTGTCATTATCCAGAGTTTCCTCTTCAGCTGTAGGTAAGGAAACAACATTTACTCATGTCTACAAAGCTCTTGATGATCTACCTTAAGGCTTTTATAGTTGCTAGAAAATTCCTGGGACCTCATTAGTAACACACAGACAGAATCTCCCACAGGAACTCATCTCACAAGGGATTCCCTCTTTTCTGGGAAGAAGTCATTACTGTTTTCTTTTGGCTTCTAATCCCTGCCCTCTATGTGCGCAGTCATCTTCTCAGTTCTTGATGCCAGTAGTTTGCTGAGGAATTCTGTCATCTCGGACTAGTTTATTTGAGTTGAGGGTTTGAAGGTTTGGGTCAGTTATTAAAAGCATGATCACTCCTTCTCACTTTTGAAATAGCCTGAATCCAGATATTATGATAGTTGAAAAAGTTGGGCAAATGACAGGCCTGAGGGTTCACAGAAAGGATGGAAAGAGGTAGAAAAGAAGTATATGAATTAGTTACTAAACTTATTGGAGAAAAGATGAAGTAAATTGGAGGTCCACATTGACAGCAATGAGAATCTAAATTGTAGAGTTGTCTATTAATAGGGATTGAGTGAAGATCTAAAGATGACAAGGTTAAGCAAAAAACAGTCCATTTCTCCTCCTGATCCTGTGGATAAGGAGGTATGTGAGAAAGCACATACAGCCATATAAATGGTATCTATACATGTGTCTTCAGTAAAATATCAGGTTTCAATGAACACCAGAAAATAGAAATAATATAAGAAGAAAGATTTAGGATCAATCAAGTTTCTTAATAATGAAGAAGAGTTGTAGAATATACTGTGAATGAGGATGAGCTGTGATAGCTTAGGGCTAGGTTAACAGTGTTCAGAATGCACTTTCTTAGTTGTTGATTTCACCTGTAAATATTTTTGCTGATCTGCAGTGCCTAGAGTATGAATCTTCTGTCTAAGCATTACATTTGTAAAACTTCAATCCTTTCAGTGAGCCTACTACAGAGCTGTGGTGGTCAAGGTACCCTTTGGTACCATCAGCTTTTTATCTATGTAAGATATGCAGAGTGGTAAATGTTGCTTTCAAAAAAAGGGGTATTCCTCCTGCATGTCAGCACCTGAGACGAAACTCTGGTGTCCTTATGCTAGTATACAACTGGGTTTTCTTTTCTATTCCTGGCTAAGAATAAGTGTATTAGTCTAAAGGCTTAGGGAAAGTTTTTTATAAGACTTTGCTAGAGATAAGAAAAATTTTAAAATGATGAACCCTGTTTTAATAACAGCTCCCAAGTAACAATAGCTTGTTTTTTTTTTAGTGCTATAATATTTATAAATTGCTCTATGGACATTATTTAAGTATGCTACCTTGCTCAGAATAGTTGCTTACCAAATACTTATTGGATTGGACTGTACTAAATTATCTCTTTTGTTATCCATTACAACAATTTAAAGTTGATATTGTAAGTATTATTATCTTGATTTTAGTTTCAAGGAAACTGATGGTCACTTTAAGGAGCCCATGGTTATACTACTGGTGAGTGCCAGGTGGCTTCTATGTATTCTATTTGATTATCTAGGGACAGATGTTTTCACTAAATCTTGTTGCTTCCCAAAACATAAATCTTTTTAAAAACTTCTTGCTCAAAAAATGAAGTGTTGGTGACAATGGAAATATAAAGAATATTTATTTTAGTTTCTTTGCAAAGACTAAATCATCTTTGACATTTTATTCACATAGACCTGGAATATATATAGTGAGTTTTTATTACAATTTTTATATGTACTATATTAAATTTAAATATGTAGTTGTTAAATTTAATTCATAATTATTTACTTAGTGTTTTATATGTGCATTATATTTAGCTTCCTGCTGAGATGATGTAAAGATGAAGTAAATCTCTGTCTCTGTCTTCAAGCTATAATACCATCTGACAGGGTAAATACATACATCATGCAGCTTGGATATCAATGGCATAGGAACTTTGGTCAACAGGGCAGGCTGTAAACTTCTTTAACTTTCAGTCTTACAGAGACAATTGCTTACTGTCTTAAGATATTTTTACACAATCTCTCTTACCTTATATCTGTAAGAGATAGCATTGTTTTTGTTGTTCAGTCATTCAGTCATGTCTGACTTCTTGTAGCAAACCAGCCCTTTCTATCTTCCACTGTCTCACAAAGTTTGTCCAAGTTCATGTTCATTGTTTCCATGGCACTATCCTCTATCCTCTGCTGTCTCCTTTTCCTTTTGCATTCAATCTTTCCCAACATCAGAATCTTTTCCAATGAGTCCCATCTTTTCATTCTGTGGCCAAAGCTCTTAAACTTCAGCTTCACTATTTGCTCTTCCAGTGAATAACCTGAATTAATTTATTTAAGCATTGACTGATTTGATCCACTTGCTGTCCAAGGGGCTCTCAGAATTCTTCTCCAACACCACAATTCAAAAGTGGTAATTCTGTGGCACTCAGCTTTCCTTACAGTCCAACTCTCATAGCCATATATTGCCAGTGGAAAAGTCATAGTTTTGACTACATGGGTTTTTGTCAGTATGGTGCAATAAACTTCCTTTTTTTTTTAAAATATATTGTACAGATTTGCTATAGCTTTCCTTCCAAGAAGCAAGCTTCTTTTAATTTCATGGCTGTAGTTACTGTCTGCCATGATCTTTGAGCCCAAGAATATGAACCCAGTTCTTTCAGCCTGCAAGCCTGTTGGTCTATCTTCTATCTAGTTCCTTGTCAAAATCTGTGATAATCATTTTTTTTAAACAATTTGAGCTGAGTAGGAGTAGAATGAAGATAATGGAGTAAGAGAGGAACTCACCTGAGTGCTCCCAAATTAAACTCTAAAGAACTAAAAAAAAAAAAGGCTCAAAATGAATTCTGGAGTAGGAGAACCAAAAAAAAAAAAAAAGGATAGAGTGAAACAATTTTCCAGCTCAAGACAAGTTAGAAGGTTGGAAGGAAAAGCCTGTCTTGTTAGGATAAAGGGGAGTATAGTTCAGGGCAGGGAGCATCTGGGCAAGCCAGCAGCAAGTCTCAAGCTGGGATAGTTGAGTAGAGAGGTTCCATATCCTTCCACATAGGCTAGCAGTGAGGTCCAATGCCCCCTGGGCAAGAAGATTGGAACAGTGTCCCCCATGACAGAAGCAGAGTCTAGCTGTAACATAAACTTAAAAGTCACAGAATAGACTGGAAAGTAAGCAAAATAAATAAATAAACAAACAAACAAATAAATAAATAAACAAATAGATAAATGAATGAATGAATGAATGAATGAATAAGGAATCTGACCATAGAAAGTGACTATGGTGACAGGAAAGATCAGAACACAAATTCAGAAGAGGACATCAATGTTAAAATACATATATACAAAGCCTCAAAGATAAATGTGAATTGGTCTCAGGCCAAAGAAAAACTCCTGGGAAAGCTCAAAAGGGATTTTTAAAAAATAGAAAGGTAGAAGAAAAATTTGGAAAAAAATGCAAGTGATGCAAGAGAATCATGGGGAAAAAAGTCAACAGCTTGGTAAAGGAAACACAAAAAATGAAAAAAAAAAGATGTACAAAAACTTACTGAAGAAAACAACTCCTTAAAAAATAGAATTGACCAAATGAAAAAAAGAGGTTTAGAAATTCACTGAATAAAACAACTCATTATAAAGTAGTATTCACCAAATGGAAAAGGAGGTACAAAAA